GAAAGGGTAAATGCAAGTGTCAGCCTGGACTATTTGCAAATTACCTCCCCCTCTTATTGTTACCTCTGTTTTTGTTGTTGTATGTATTATATGTAATAGGAGTAGGTAGGCTTTCCTACCGCCCGGACCACACTCATCCTCCTTCTCTTGGACATTAGTAGAGGCTTACGCCTTGTTTCTTGTTTAGGAAGGGGTTTCCGGTACTTTCTCTCTCTCTCTCTCTCACTGGCCTCTGTATCTCCAGTTGCCTTGATCTATCCACTACTCTTCTCCTCATCCTTTCTTCTATCACTCCTATCTGATCTTGCTCCAAATTTTCTGTAACCCCTTGCGTCCTAGTGGCTTCCCGCCTTGCTTGGGGTGAAACGCTTAAAAAAAAAATAAAAATAAAAATATATATATATATCTACACACACACACACACACACATATATATATATATTATTTTATATAATTTATAGAAACAAGGATCTTTACATTCATAAACAGGTTCGGGGTTTTTGTATATTATTTGAATTGTTCGCGACGATGGATTTCTCATAATTAAATCATTAACCTTTGTATTTGTTTTTTGTATGAATAATTCATGAATTTGTAAATTAATTGCACCTTTATTGAAATTAAAATAACTGATCCAAATGCAACTTTTGGATAATAAGTGCGACATTACTGTAATTATTAAACAATAAAGTTCATGCCACTTTGACAGAAAATTTACCAGTAAAAAAGAATTCACTTATCACCATATTTGTATGAGAACGCACAATTGTAAAATTTAAATTCAAACTCAGCATTGCGACTGCACACTCCAAAAACAATAACTCATTTCTAATAGCATTTTTCGGATTACAACAATGCATATATTTTCGTTGTCCTCTTATTACTGAGAGTAAAAACAAGAACAAAATATATTCCATATCTGAGGATGCCTGTAGGAACAGACGAAAGCTTGTAAAAATAATAAGAACTTATGCAACAGAAATTTATAGAAACAAGGATCTTTTCATTCATAAACAGTTTCGGGGTTTTTGTATATTATTTGAATTGTTCGCGACGATGGATTTCTCGCCAATTAAATCATTAACCTTTGTATTTGTTTTTTGTATGAATACTTCATGAATATATATATATATATATATATATATATATATATATATATATATATATATATGTATAAAGTTCGCTAAAATAATGTATACAAATTTCAGGAAAGGAAAAACTTTCGTAGATCTATCATATTGTGAAAAAAAACTGTTTACTGTAGTATTTTCTTGAGAGGAGATATTACGGTTATGCCTGTAGCAAGACAAGTCTTCAAGGATATTGCATATTGCAGAAAACCGACTACATTGCCTACCCTTAGACAAAAAGAATGAAAATGTATCTGCAGCAATCCCGATGGACATTTTGTCCAGCATCGCCCAAGCAGTAGTTAGCCGTGCTAATAAATGTCTGGAAGATAAAGACAACCATTTTTAGCATCTCTCGAGATTTTAGACTTCAAATGTACCTTTTATTAATCTCGTGACGATTGAATAAATGTATTATTACAATATCTATAGAATTTGTCCCTTTTCTGAAGTATGTATACACTTTTGACGGACTCAATGTTACACTCAAATGAAAAATGGTGGAACGGAATTTATACTAATGTATAATGTGTCTTGCATACGTTTTGTTTTCTCTTTTTGTTTAATGTTGGTCATCTGATAAGTTTTCTATCAGTTGCCACAAGATTTTGGATTTTACAATCTATCTATCTGTTCAGTATGTCTTCAGAAGTCAACTCTATAGCAATGGAAAGAAGTCCCTTTAGGAATTGGAAATGACCTTTCTAAAAGTACTGTTGCACATTATCCCGTCGGGCGCATAGCCACCGCAAGAAAAAGGAGATACGATTGCCTTCTACCTCGTCTAATAATAAGGGCTTTAACTGTACTGGATTGAATTCAGTTTGATCTTCCAACAGAGGAAGTGAACATCGCTTTTGATCGGACGCAGGGAAGCACAGTTCAAATTAATTATTTGCTTGTGCGGAAATGATCGGGGATCAACTGAACTTATTTCGAGTAATGGAAGCTAAAGAGAATGCCTTGAGGTATGCGAAACTTATTAGGCGAGGGAGCGAGTCTAATTTCCTTTACATTGAACAAGGCACGCAAATGCGGGAGCCAAGCGTTTAGAATAGAATATACTGTAAGTAATGCGTTGCTTACTTACTGACCACTGACAATTCTTTTCTTCCTGAAATGCAATGTATTTTTTAAACCATTAAAATACATTTACCGGGTGTAACAGCAAAATTGTCCAAATCGTGTAACAGCTTGGGATTTTTGTCTATCCCACAAAATGTTTAGTATCTAAAAAAAACAAAAAAAAAAATCACTAAACTGATTAAATTTCTTTTTTTTTCCAGGTTTTCAGATAAGACGTTTAGCCATCTTGACACCATTTGTCGTAAGAATCACTGAAAAAAACCTTTGTGTTATTCAGCGAGAAAGAAAACAGAATAAAATCCTTTTGTGTCAGCCACACTGTCTTCCAAATTGAGCAATGTTGGCAGGCAAAAGATCATTCAGACCTTCAGTAATTGTACCAACATTCATGTTCTGGCTTCCATCTTAAATGTCCATTGTATAACCACCCAGAGAACGGTGAATGACATTAAAATGAGGGAACAGCAGAAAGGAAAACTGGATCAGGAGGTCAAAATAGACAGAGCGATCATCATTTCAACTTAAGGCTAAAGAGATCAATTAGAAAAGATCGAACGCAATCCATAAGTTTGGCGCGTGAGAACTATAACAGTCCAAAGGGCAGTGAAAAAAGACTTGAAAATGAAATCGTCCATGAAAGATGTGAGGCACCATTTTACCCCAGGATAGAAATATAGAAGATTAGAGAGGGTGAAGATCATCTTGATCCTGGAACATATATATATATATATATATATATATATATATATATATATTATTGTACTTTATTTCTATCCTTAGCTATGATTAATTAATAAAACATGTCATTTTCGTTTATGATCGATTTCATCACGATTCACGTTTGGAAAGTAAATATACATTCTTATTGGTCAAAGTAGAATCCAATAGTTTTATAAAACCCCGGAGAATTCCAGTAAGATATCTTTACTCATTTCTAAGATACAACGGTTCAATGCTTAATCTAACAATTGGACAATGTTGCTCTTACACGATTTGAACAATTTTGTTTTTATAACCGGTATATTAAATTCGGTAAGCAAATTTAGTTTCAGGGAAAGGAATTTAAATACAGAAGCAGCATCCAATCTCATACACACACATCGCAATTACGAAAAATTTGGAATACATTAATTTATCTTAATTATTTCTGTGGCAGTGGAAACGTACACGTTGGATTAAATGTAAAATGGTGTTCTTGACAACGTAAGTCCCTATGGAATAAGAATAGTTGAGGAAAAATATTGGATCTGTTTTATTCACCTGACCCTGAGACATTGAAAATCTAAGCGTAACTTCGATGTGGCACAAGGCCGAAAGTATGGAACACCGAACTCGCTATTTAGTCGTAATTGATCTAGCGAGTCAAGGTGGAGAACCATTACACTTTGTCGAAATGCCGAAATGATTTTCTGAGCGTAACTTTGATGTGGCACAAGGCCGAAAGTATGGAGCACCCAGTAAGGATCCAACTCACTATTCAGTCAGGCAAGCTGGGCAAGCTTGCTAACCATTACACTGCGTCGAAATGTTGAGATGATTTTCTAAACGTAACTTTGATGTGAGATATGGGTGAAAGTATGAAACACTCAGTGAGGTTTGAACTCGCTATTCGTCCGTAGTTAATCAAGCGAGACCAGCTTTCTAACCACGTCGAAATGCCCATATTACAAATAACGGTGATTATGTAATTGCATAAAATATAATTTTATTATATTTTTTTTTGTAGAATAAAATTGATAAAGAACAAGTCACTCTGTTTTCTTTACTTCCTGACCACAGAAAAATCACTTTCTTCCTAATGTTCAATGCATTTATATTATAAAATAATTAGAAATGCATTTATATTCTATACATAATAGTCCTCGTCTGATAGTAATGTTTATATTAATTCCTATTAATTCCGCGAGATAAATGTAGCGCCCTGTTTTGCTCAAAATTCAGCCCTTTCTTTGGTGTTGAAACTGCAGTGACCACATCATTGTGCACGCCTAGGCGATGTTATGTGAGAGCCGTGACCTGCTCAGATCGCATAACCCCAACTCTCGTACGTACCGACTTTATCCAAAGGATTACAGGGCATTATATTTGGGGACAACTTGGGCTAGGTTCACGAGTTCATGTTTTGCTCGCCAGCAGTGTCCCTGTTAGCATTCTTCCGGGGGGTTTGGAAGGCCTATATTGACCAGCTACATGGAGAGCTGTGGTCGTCAACGACCTGGATGGATATGGTACACAAATGAAGAATAATTTAATAGAAATCACACCAGACCACAGCTTAACAGTTGGATCTGGTCAAGATCCAAAATAAATAAAGTTTAATAAACCAT